AGAGAAAACACGCACAGAAATGACACTAATGGTTTCCTCTGAAGTCAGACATCAAAAAGTAAGACGTTACTGTTTTCTTTGAATGTTTTTTTTGTTTTGTTTTTTTTGGCTGTTCTGGAAAATAGCTATTTTTCCATTTAAAAAAATGTTATTTATGTTAGCATGTAAAGGAGTCGTTGTTCTAAATCTTGATTTTTCAACCTTTTTCGTCTGATGGCACACATAAACAAATTCCTGAGTTCTGAGGCACACCAGAAAGTATCTTCTTTGCTAGCCTGAAAACCAAATAGGTGTAATTTTGGTTGATTTACAACAAAAAATTACATATATATATTTGTATTAGTAATTACCTACTCTTTTTGCTCCAAAGGCACTTTTTTAAAAACAAGGTATCTATACAGGCACATAAGAATTTCTGGTCCCAAGAATTAACCGATCAGGTGTAATCCTGGAAATGCATCCTTAGACAATTCCGTCGTTGCGTGAACATCGCAGGGCGCACTTACACACCGGGAAGGGACAGCCACGCCGGGCTGTCGGGTAAACCACTGTCGTCTATGTGGTCCGCTGTGGACCACACATCATTACGCAGTGCATGACCAGTAACAGTGTAACCCCTGCCCCCACGCAGCCCCTGCCATGGAACTTGGGGTGCCAACACCCTGCCAGCCTCTCTTGCAGCTAAGGCGGCCACGTGGTCCGCCTGTGGCCCAGGAGACACAGAAGGATGTCTGCTGGAGTTCCCCGGTAAAGCAGGGGGCGGCCTCATGTCCAGCCCACCTCCCCTCTCCTTCTTGCCCTGAATGCAGGTGCCTCGAGCTGGGAGACAGGATGCCGAAGAGCCGAGTGAGCGGAAATAAAGCCTCCGTCGTTGCCGATATCACTGAGCAGCGGAACCAACTCCACCCAATGCTCACAACTGTACTCACTCTGAGAAAAACTTACAGTGGTATTTTTTAAAGTATATTTTACTGATTTTTTACAGAGAGGAAGGGAGAGAGCTAGAGAGTTAGAAACATCAATGAGAGAGAAACATCGACCAGCTGCCTCCTGCACACCGCCTACTGGGGATGTGCCCGCAACCAAGAGACATGCCCTTGACCGGAATCGAACCTGGGACCCTTCAGTCCGCACGCAGGCTGACGCTCTGTCCACTGAGCCAAACCTGTCAGGGCTATAGCGGTAATTTATTTAAGACAGGGAGAGTCAGGTGTCTGGGAAAGCTGTGTAGATGACCGGTGCCTGCTCATCTGGGAAAACCTGGGGAAAGGCGGAGAAACACAGAGGCGGCATGGCAGGCACCAAAGGAAGCAATTCCGTAACATGGTGCCCAGTGCAGCTCTGACGACATCAGATACGAGAACTTTCACCAGCAAACGTTAACACACAGAGCCCGGGTGACCCCTGGCATCCTACGGGAATCGAAGGCCCGAACAGGTCAAGACAGCCCCTGGCCAGATGGGTGTCAGCGGGAACTTCATCTCCGGGCCTCCTGCCAAGAGCCTGCGTTACCGCCACATCCCCTTTCAAAACCGCAGATGAGAACGCGTTCACGGAAACCCAGACGTTAAAGCGGAGACATTTATACATGGTAACCTCCCTTTTCTCTCTCGGCGACAAAGGTGCCCATGAACGCCGAGGCTCACAGGGAGACCTCTTTCTCTCAGAGTCTATTTGACCTTTTTGTTGTTGTTTTTAGCCGTTCACAAGGTAATTGACGCGGTAAAACAATTCAGGGAGCTGGCTGCTGATCAGCTGGTGGACGGAATCCAAGGGCGATCGGGTTCCTAACCTTTATTTTTATTTTTTTTAAATATATATATTTTATTGATTTTGTACAGAGAGGAAGGGAGAGAGATAGAGAGTTAGAAACATCGATGAGAGAGAGTCATCGATCAGCTGCCTCTTGCACACCCCCACTGGGGATATGCCTGCAACCAAGGTACATGCCCTTGACCAGAATCGAACCCGGGACCTCTCAGTCCCCAAGCCAACGCTCTATCCATTGAGCCAAACCGGTCTCGGCCGGTTCCTAACCTTTAAATGGGAGTGAGACGCCGATGTATACAGCGCCTCTGCCTAAGATACGGGGCCAGCAGTGGAGGGCGGAGGGGGGCAGGGGGGCGTGGAGACACTCAAGCCGCACACGTGCTCGGCTCACCATCCCGGGAAAGCAGGGGGAGGCCCCGGGAGGAGGAGGTCAATGGGATGCCTCCTGCCTCCCTCGTAGCTGGGGACGCAGAAGCGATGGCATCGCCTGCGCATGATTTATGGCCGCGGAGACCGCTGCTGACGGCGCTGCGGAGGATGTCAGGGAAGATCACCTTGAACGAGGACGGAGGACCATGTGGGGGAGTCAGAGGAAACGGGATTCCGCTCAGTCTTGAAAGAGGCACTGAAACCTGCGGGTGGGCAAAGGAAGCATTTTAAAATATATATATTTTTATTGATTTTTTTACAGAGAGGAAGGGAGAGAGATAGAGAGTTAGAAACATCGATGAAAGAGAATCATCGATCAGCTGCCTCCTGCCCACCCCCGACCTGGGGATGTGCTCGCAACCAAGGTACACGCCCCTGACCAGATTCGAACCTGGGACCTTTCAGTCCGCAGGTCAACGCTCCATCCACTGAGCCAAACTGGTTTTGGCAAAGGAAGCATTTTAACAGCCTCCTGGAAGGGCTGGTCCTGTTCCCTGTCCTGTCTTGTTGTTGTTGTTGTTGTTGTTGTTGTTGTTTTAAGGTGAGAAACCCTCCAGGGCGATGGGCCGAAGGGGGGGCGGTGGTGATGGTAGAGGAACACTGGGCAGGGTGATGAGTGATGGTGAAGGCGGGGAGGCGGGGCCGGGGGGGGGGGGGGTGATGGTAGAGGAACACTGGGCAGGGTGATGAGTGATGGTGAAGGCGGGGAGGCGGGGCCGGGGGGGGGCGGGTGATGGTAGAAGAACACTGGGCGTTCCAAAGAAACTGGAAGCCGAAACCGGTTTGGCTCAGCAGTAGAGCGTCCGTCCGCGGACTAAAAGGTCCCAGGTTCGATTCCTGTCAAGGGCATGTACCTTGGTTGCGGGCACATCCCCAGTTGGGGGTGTGCAGGAGGCAGCTGGTCGATGTTTCTCTCTCATCCACGTTTCTAGCTCTCTAGCTCTCTCCCTTCCTCTCTGTAAAAAAATAAAATATATTTAAAAATCCCGTTTTTTTTAAAAAAAAAAAAAAGAAAGAAACTGGCAGCCAGAAGGTGGAGCTAACCCAAGCGCCCACCAACATGAACACTCACCGAAGGCGGACTGCAGCCTCCGAAGAGGGGGAGGCCCTGACAGCATGGTACGTTCTACAGGTGGCCAGGCCTGACAACATGATGCTGGTGCAATGAGCCCGTCATACAGGGAAAGCTCTGTAGCGTTCCACTCCCGCGATGTGCCTACACCATCAAAATCACACTCAGAGATGCAGAACGGGGGCGGCTGGGGGCTGGGGGAGAGGGAGTGGGCGTTAGGGTTCAGGGCTCGGGGCTTCAGTTTTGTGAGTGAAAAGAGATCTGGAGATGGGTGGTGGCGATGGCTGAAGGACAGTGTGCATGTACCCAGCACCACCCTTAGAAATGGTTCAAGTTAAGATGCAACGTGTATTTTACCACATTAGAAACGTACCAGAGGAACAACTGTAAGAATCTGAACAATAAAGATTGATTAAATTCAAGCACTTGGGTGGGGGTGGGGGGTCCCTCAGCCTGGCCTGAGCCCTACTGCAGTCCGGGAGTTTTCAGGGAATGTCTGACTGATGTCTTAGGGGAGGGATGGGTGGAGGGGGAGGGAGCAGGCCTGAGCCAGCCGTGAGACTCCTTAGTGCTGCTGTGCAGGTGGGAGAGGCTCCCGCCACCGCCATTGTGCTCGCCAGCCGTGAGCATTGAGCGTCTGCCCCCTGGTGGTCAGTGCATGTCATAGCGACCAGTTGTTCTGCCATTCGGTCGATTTGCCTATTAGTGTTTTATTGTATAGGAGAATACATTTAAAAACAGAGAGAGATCGAGCGAGTGAGAAAGAACAGCAGGAGGAAAGCCAAGACACAGACTGGGGTACAAGAAGGAGCCCGGAGCTCCAGAGGCAAGATGGCAGTTGGGTGTCAAAAATAAGGTGACCCTTTGTCGGGCCCCAGGCCTGCGAGTCCCATGGCTCCACTCGTAATTCCACGACCGAGTGGTACGCAGCGCACACCACCCCTCCTCCAACTCTTTTAATTTAACGAAGACTTTTTAAACCTTTTTTAAAAATCTTTGACCTTGGAAATGAGTAACGGCTGGGCGCCTGCAGGCACTCACTCCTTTTTTTTAATTTAATAAATCTTTATTGTTCAGATTATTACAGTTGTCCCTCTTTTTTCCCCCTAGCTCCCCTCCACCTGGTTCCAACCCCACTCTCTGCCCTTACCTCCCACATACACTGTCCTCACCCATAGGTGTGCCATTTTCGCCCAGTCTCTTCCCTCACACCCACACCCCTCCCCGCCAAGGACACTCACGTCCTTGCCCTGCCTCCCCCCGGGCCACACCCAGATGTGGACACTAACAGCCAACAACCTGGTCCCCGAGAAAGTGCAGGGCGGGCCTCGTCTGCAGGGCCTGGCGGGGAGCCGCCGGCAAAGGAAAGAGGCTGGCAGAGGGGGCGTGGTTTGGGGCTCCTGGACCCAACGTCCACGCTGAGGAGAGGGTGACCTCACCCCTCAATGCCGAGCGCGTCTCAGGCCGCCCGCTGGGCTGCCTCCAGGCTGCCCCGTTCTGACCGGGCTCCCTGAGCGCCGGGCCTGGGAGCGGCGTCAGAGAGCCTTCCCCACGGCCCCCGTCCGGTCCGGGAACAGGGCGGCCGCCCACCAGCCCCGGGCAGCCCGCGGCGTCCTGTCCCCTCACTGTCCTCCGAGCATTAGAACACGCGGGACGTGCTTCGCAGACGGCGCAGACACGACGGGCACGGAGAACCAGGCACACAGTTACAAGATAAAAACGAGCATCCTTCGCCGGGGTGGGCTTTAGTAAGATTTTAATAATGTTGGTAAGGAGCCAAATTACAAAAACGCTCCCGAATACGGGGTACAAAACCTCAGAGACAAAATAAAAACTCGCAGAAACGTAAGAGCCCTCTAACACCAGTCACCAGCTTCAGGAGAAGGAAACCGCGTTCTCCGCAAAGGGGCCGACGGAACACGTTCGATGAGAATGGAGTGGGATTAGAGACAGGTGTCCAGACACACACCCCCCGCCCCCCCAGCGACAGGGGGGTGCAATTAGTGTCCGAGGAGGAGGGCCTGAGCCAGGGGGGCACCAGATCTGGGGAAGACCGCCCGGAGGCCCCTGGATCTCCGCACATCTCACTTACAGGCTGTGGAGGGGCCTTGGAAGTGACCTTGGGAATGACCCTGGGGATGCCTTTGGGAATGCCCCTGGGAGTGGCCTTGGGAATGGCCTTGGGAATGGCCTTGGGAATGACCCGTGACGGCCGCCCATCCACAGCCCCCGCCCCGCAGCAGGATGTGGTCTCCGGGGCGACAAGATGAGCTGTCTGCTGGGGAACGACGATGTGATGTGTGACCAACAAACCAAAAAGGAGACACAGACACACAGGAGTCAGAGAAAACCACCAAAACACCGGAGTCCCCACCCGCGGAGGGACAGGAGGCCACTCCCCGGGGGAGCAGGACAGACAGCCGAGCGGAGGAAGGTTCCGGAACGCAGCTCCGCCGCCACCACAGGACAGCGCCGCCTCTCCGGGGGCCTGGGGTGGGGGACCCCGGACTCCCCAGCACTCAGCTCAGTGCCGCTGCCACGCGGGCCCCGTGTCCCCACGGGCACTCCGCGTCCTGCTCCCTGTGCGCTCCTCCCGCGTGCGGCTCCTCCCACAGGCCCGCGGGCGCGCTGCGACGTGCGGTGGGTGACAGCACCCAGCAAACAGCACCCACAGGGGCAGCCCCCGCGCCAGCCCCTCGAGACGGGCGGGCGCAGGCCCCGTTATTTAACCCTAAACCAGCGGCTTCACCAGGCGCAGGTTCCTGCGAGGAGAGTCGGGAGAGGAGGCTCTGTGAGCTCCAGATGTGCGGCTCCCAGGCCCCGGCCCGGAGACTGCGGGCAACGCCAGGTGAGGGCGCTCCGGGTCCCCGAGGGGGTCCCCATCTCCGGGCGGCTCCGTGGGATGGGACTCACGGGAGCTTCTGGCTGGGCCTGCCGTTGATGGAATCAAAGTCAATGACGATCTTGCTGCGCTTGGGTGTGAATTTCCTAAAGGGAAGAAACAGAATAGGTAACGGAAGAGATAAACCAGAGAACCTGTGCACCTACAGGCACAGCCCACGGACACGGACATGGGCGACAGGGTGGTGAAGACGGGGTGGGAGGGGCTGGGAGGAGGGGTGTAAAGGGGTGGGGGGAACGGAAGATACCTGTAATACTATCAACAATAAAAATATATATTTTTTAAAAAACTATATATAATGCCATTATCCAGTGAGTAGTTAATGTTATCTGTTAGGTTTGGCTTAACCCACATTTTCTGGGGAGGAAAATCTTTTTCTAAAAAGCACAATTATTAGCCAGATCGGCTTCAACTACCTCTGTCCCTGCTCTTACAGACCCGCCCCTGAAACACACCGACAGGCCCGGCCCACCGCCCGGAAAAGAGGCGCCGAGGTGGAAGGGTCAGGCATCACAGGCAGAAACGAAGCACGGGTCCAGGCCACCCCGTGTCCCATCAGGCCTCGGTCCACCCGGGTCTCCATCGGGCCTCGGGCCACCCCGTGTCCCATCAGGCCTCGGGCCACCCAGTGTCCCATCGGGCCTCGGGCCACCCCGTGTCCCATGGGGCCTCGGGCCACCCATCAGGCCTCGGGCCACCCCGTGTCCCATCAGGCCTCGGGCCACCCCGTCTCCCATCAGGCCTCGGGCCACCCAGTGTCCCATCGGGCCTCGGGCCACCCCGTGTCCCATGGGGCCTCGGGCCACCCATCAGGCCTCGGGCCACCCCGTGTCCCATCAGGCCTCGGGCCACCCCGTCTCCCATCAGGCCTCGGGCCACCCCGTCTCCCTTCGGGCCTCGGACCACCCCGTGTCCCATCGGGCCTCGGGCCACCCCGTCTCCCATCGGGCCTCGGGCCACCCCGTGTCCCATCGGGCCTCGGACCACCCCGTGTCCCATCGGGCCTCGGGCCACCCCGTCTCCCATCGGGCCTCAGGCCACCCCGTGTCCCATCGGGCCTCGGACCACCCCGTGTCCCATCGGGCCTCGGGCCACCCCGTCTCCCATCGGGCCTCGGGCCACCCATCAGGCCTCGGGCCACCCCGTGTCCCATGGGGCCTCGGGCCACCCCGTGTCCCATCGGGCCTCGGGCCACCCCGTCTCCCATCGGGCCTCGGGCCACCCATCAGGCCTCGGGCCACCCCGTGTCCCATCAGGCCTCGGGCCACCCCGTCTCCCATCAGGCCTCGGGCCACCCAGTGTCCCATCGGGCCTCGGGCCACCCCGTGTCCCATGGGGCCTCGGGCCACCCATCAGGCCTCGGGCCACCCCGTGTCCCATCAGGCCTCGGGCCACCCCGTCTCCCATCGGGCCTCGGGCCACCCCGTCTCCCATCGGGCCTCGGGCCACCCCGTGTCCCATCGGGCCTCGGACCACCCCGTGTCCCATCGGGCCTCGGGCCACCCCGTCTCCCATCGGGCCTCAGGCCACCCCGTGTCCCATCGGGCCTCGGACCACCCCGTGTCCCATCGGGCCTCGGGCCACCCCGTCTCCCATCGGGCCTCGGGCCACCCATCAGGCCTCGGGCCACCCCGTGTCCCATGGGGCCTCGGGCCACCCCGTGTCCCACCAGGCCCTCACTCACCGGAAGGCGACCCCGGCCATGTCGAACATGAGCCTGGCGGCAGTGGTCTCCTCGCTGTCGTGGTACTTGTCCGACATGAAGATGACTTCTCTGATACCTTCGAGGGCAACAAGGCAGGAGCCGTTAGTACAGGCGCAGCGACGCCGCCCGGACGGAGCCTGCCCCGGCAGTGTGGGTGCCAGCGGCTCCTCCTGGGTGAGAAAAGCTCGCACCCACCCAACAGCGGGTCTGCAGGAGCCGCCTCCCCGAGGGCGTCCACACCCGCCTGGCCTGCGACCAGGGGCCGCCCCGTCCAGCGGACAGGCGAGTGGAACCTGCCCTCGGGCTCTGTGGATTTTCTTTTTTTAACAAATTCGAAGTGCAAACATGCATTTTTTAATCCAATTAACAAATTTCCAAAATTCCTTTAGTTTTAACTTTTTTTTTTTTTTTTTTACAGAGAGGAAGGGAGAGGGATAGAGAGTTAGAAACACCCATCAGCTGCCTTCCACCGGGGATGTGCCCGTAACCAAGGTACATGCCCTTGATCGGAATCGAACCCAGGACCGTTCAGTCCGCCGGCCGACACTCTATCCACTGAGCCACACTGGTTTCGGTCAGACATTCTTTCCTTTGAGGCAATTACCGTTGAGCTCCAGAGGCCCGTGGCTGGCGGGGAGCGCGCTGGCAGACTCAGAGGGACCAGCACCTTCCCTGGAGGCTCTGGAGACGCACACGGAGCAGACCGGCTGCTTCTCCCGTCTCACCGGCAGCCTGACCTCAGGGCAGCCCGGGGCTGCGCTCCTGTCCCCGAGGACCTTCCCACGCCCACGGGCGAGCCACAGAGACTCCGGCTCTGACCCCGCAGACGCCCTCTGCCACAGACCCTCAGCTCGTGCCAAACAGCCCTCCACGCTGCACATCCGTCCACACGGCGAGTCTGTAAATCTCACGCGGGGAGTTTTATGGAGACGGAGTGTGGCTGAATCATAGATGTGGTGATGATTCGGAAAAGGTGGGATGCTCAGAACACAAAGCTGTGGCTTTGGGGTAAGAAAATCTTAACACAGGGCCCCTGGAGTCTTTGGGCACGAAAACGGAGAGCTATGGTTAGGCCCTCACATACCTGCCCTGCATTAGCCCAAATTAAAATCCCGGACAGCCTCCCAGCTGACCTTATGGCCCACCGAAGCTCATTTCTCGACCTCCCTCTCCCTAACCCCCCCCTCCGTAATCAATGCACGATAATCCAGAGGGCAGAAAACTGACAGGAACGATATGCAAAGCCCATGTTGCGTTTTGGCAGCTTAAGAAGTTGCAGACGAAGCCGAATCCGGTTTGGCTCAGTGGATGGAGCGTCGGCCTGCGGACTGAAAGGTCCCAGGTTCGATTCTGGTCAAGGGCATGTACCTTGGTTGCAGGCACATCCCCAGTAGGGGGTGTGCAGGAGGCAGCTGGTCGATGTTTCTCTCTCATCGATGTTTCTAACTCTCTCTCTTCCTTCCTCTCTGTAAAAAAAAAAATCAATAATATATATTGATATATATATATATATATATATATATATATATATATATTTTTTTTTTTTTTTTTTTTTTTTTTTTTAAGTTGCAGATGAAATTAGAAGTGTGTTAAGAATCACCGAGGATGCGGTTAGCAGCAGAATACCTGGCACTGTTCAGAGACAAAACACGGGAAGCGTCCTGCGACGCTGATCCTGCAGTTAACTTAGACCCAAACAGCAGGGAGCAGGCTCACACCCGTCTGCGGGGGCGGCGAGGGCGGCGAGGGCGGGCCGCGGGCAGGCCTGGCACGGGGCCGCCCCGCCTACCTGCCTGGATGATGAGCTTGGCGCACTCATTGCACGGGAACAGGGCCACGTAGATGGTGCAGCCCTTCACGTCGGCGGAGTTCTTGTTCATGATGGCGTTCAGCTCGGCGTGGCACACTGCGGGCGGGCGGGCGGGCGGGAGAAGGAAGAGGAACTGAGATCGGGGCTCAGGAGGAACGCACGCAGAGGGCTGGCAAGTTCCTCTCCGCCCTCTGAAATAACACGGAACAGACTCGATTTAAAAATAATAATAACAATTGGAACTGGAAGAGAAGGCCCGACGGGTAGGCGATTGGAGCAGCCCAGGTTCCGGGAGCACCGAAAGCAGCCAGGAGGGCCGGGGTCCGGCACCTCCCACCCCCCACGGGCAGCCCCAAGGCCCTGGGGCGTGGAACCGCCCACACGAAACGGCTCCTGTGTGCGCTGACATGCACACACAGGGAGGCGCTTTCTCTGTGGCCACTGCGAGGGCAGGAGCCATGGTTAGAGCAAGAGAATCAGGAAGTAGAGCCAAGCATTCCTGACCTGCGGGATCTGCGTGGCCTCATGGCTCCCGGCCCACACACACACCCCTGTGGGTGCCCAGTAGTTTAAGAAAAACATGCATCTACTTAATGGCACTGAAAAGTCAAGTTTGTGCCAAAACCAGTGTGGCTCAGTGGATAGAGCATCCGGTCTGCGGACTGAAAGGTCCCGGGTTCAATTCTGGTCGGGGGCATGTACGTTGGTTGCAGGCACATCCCGGGTAGGGGGTGTGCAGGAGGCAGCTGGTTGATGTTTCTCTCTCATCCACGTTTCTAGCTCTCTAGCTCTCTCCCTTCCTCTCTGTAAAAAATCAATAAGATAAAAAAATTTAAAAAAAGAAAAGTCAAGTTGTTTGTGGTAGTTGTTTTTTACTAATTTCAGAGAGGAAGGGGGAGAGAGAGAGGAGAGAGAGAGGGAGAGAGAAAGAGGGAAACATCAATGAGGAGAGAGAATCATTGATCAGCTGCCTCCTGCAGGCCCCACACTGGGGATGGAGCCCATAAGCCAGGCCTGTGCTCTGAATGGCACATCATTGATCTTTCTCTCCCCCACCTCCCTCTCCTTTCTTCTCTGAACTCAGTACAAATAAGAAAACTAAGTTCGTGGAGTGCCCACGCACACCCGATTTCTCTGGATCACCCGTACCTTTAACTTGAGAAGTGCCACCTGCTCCCACCTTCCCGGGGGGCCCCGGAGCACCCCAAACCCTGTCTGATGAGCCTGGCTCCCAAGCCCGCAGCTATGGGGCTGAGAGAAACCCCACAACCCCCGGCGACACCTGACACCTCACCGGGCCCCGCCCGCCCGCCCGGGACCTGGCCATGCCGTCCGTCCGGACCTGGCACGGGCCTCCCAGGGGTACGACCCACAGCCCCTGTGGCTTTGACCCTCGGCTGACCCTCCCCCGCAAACCTGCCCTGCATTCCCCTTCAGCACGGACCCATCGGGAGGCGTCCCCGTGCCTGCCGCCCGTATCCCCGCGAACGAACCCGAGGGCCGGGCGTGTCACTGATCCCAGGGCCCCGGACGGCCTGCCCTCCCGGGGGGACCCGGACAGAACGCCTGGGCCTCACTCAGTGTGTTCACGTAGGTCAGTCGGGGTGCAGGGCAGGCACTCACTCAGCCGGCCGGCCCTCATAACTGAGCCACGAACGGGCACTGCCAAATCGGCGGCAGGCCACGGGAGCGCCCGGCAGGAGCAGCTGGCCTGGGGCGGGCTGGCTCAGGGCCCTGCCGGCCTGGCCCGGCCCAGCATCCCCCCCACCTTCCCGTCCTCCACCTGCACCCCAGCAGGCCGAGGTGCGAGGCCCCGCTTCGCACCTAAAGCGCGTGGCCCCGCCCAGCGGCCCCCCGCGCCTCCGGGCTGCAGGGACGGCGCCGGCCCCCGGCAGGGCCTGTCCGCTCGCTGAGTGACAGCAGCTAAAAGGTGCCGAGTAACCCGGTTTTCACCTTCTCCCTCCCTGCGTCTCCCGGAACAGCCGGTCCGCTCCGAGACGGCCCTGACCGCGGAGCAGGAGCCGCCCCTCCCACGGCCGAGGCCGGGCCTCTGGACTCTGCGATGCCAGCAAACCTCCACCGCCTCAGGAACAGCACTGTCCGAACGGACGGACGGACGGCAGGGCGTGCCCCGCTTAGGGAGCTGCAAACAGCATCCCCCCTCAATCCAGAGAGCAGCGCCGAGACTACAGCGCCCCCAATGGCGAGGTTAGGTACTGCTCCCCACAACAACTGTGTGGTGTGGGGGGGGGGAGTGTTGTGTATGTGTGGTGTGTGTGGTGTGTGAGAATGTGTGTTTGGTGTGTGTGATGTGTATGGTATGTGTTGTGTGTGTGGTGCGTATACTGTGTGTGTGGTGTGTGTGGCATGTGTGTGTGTGGCGTGTGTGTGTGGTGTGTGTGTGTGTTTGGTGTGTGTGTGATGTCTGTGGTATGTGTTGTGTGTGTGGTATGTGTATGTGATGTGTGTGTGTGTGTGGTGTGTGTGGTGTATGTGTGTGGTGTGTGTGGTGTGTATGATGGTGTGTGTGTGTGTGGTGTGTGTGTGTGTGATGGTGTGTATGGTGTGTGTATGTGTGGTGTGTGGTGTGTGGTGTGTGTGTGTGTGTGTGATGGTATGGGGGGTGGTGTGGGGGAGGTGTGTGTGATGGTGTGTGTGTGTGTGTGTGATGGTATGTGTGTGATGGTGTGTGTGTGTATGTGTGTGTGTGTGATGTGTGTGTGTGATGGTGTGTGTGTGATGGTGTGTGTGTGTGATGGTGTGTGTATGATGGGGTGTGTGTGTGATGGTGTGTATGGTGTGTGTATGTGTGGTATGTGGTGTGTGGTGTGTGTGTGTGTGTGTGTGTGTGTGTGTGATGGTGTGTGTGTGTGTGTGTGTGATGTGTGTGTGTGTGATGGTGTGTGTGTGATGGTGTGTATGATGGGGTGTGTGTATGTGGTGTGTAGTGTGTGGTGTGTGGTATATGGTGTGTGTGTGTGGTGTGTGTGTGTGTGTGTGATGGTATGTTTGTGTGTTTTGTTTTGTCCGGGTTTTTTTTGCAGGAAAGCTATGTTTGTCCCCAGGTAAAAAGTTTCAGAAACACTGCTGTAAGGAGACCCGCTGACCTCTGTAACATGCTAATGTTTACAACGAAAACGGCCCTAACGTGCAGCGTCGCCCATGCCTGTGTGTAAATGCTAACGCAGCCGATTTCCAGCTCCCGGCAGGCAGGGCCTGGAAGCGATGCGCCCAGCGGCGGTGAGCGGTCGGCTCCACTCGGCCGGCTCTCGGCCTCACCCCGCCTCCCGGCTGCACCGGCCCGCCTGCTCCAGCCCCCGGCTCGCTCCTCTCCCCGCAGGACGGGCCTGTGGGGTCCCCACCTCCCATGGGGCCTCTGCTTTCCCTCGACTTTCTGGCACGCCCCACGTTCAGCCCCGCTTCACCGCGTTCATCCTCAGGTTCTCGGAGAGCAAGCCGAGCTGTGAAACCCCAAATCTGCATTTCTAACCCCATGTCCCCTCCTCCCCTCAGGCCTCCTCCCTGGTGGCGAGCCTCCCCGTCACTTCTCCCTGCGTACACACTCCACAGCGACCTTCGAGCGAGACGGAGGGTAAGCACACCGCTCTCTGGTGCCGGCACTCCGATCGCCTGGAGGTAGAGGCGGCGAGAGCTACGCGCAGATGAGCGCGGGAGCCGACCCGGGAGAAGGGCTCTCACAGGCAGCTTGAGAACAGCACAGTTTTACATTCATAGGAATGAAGACTCCGGACCCGGAGAGAGTGGCTAGGACGTAATTCATAAGATAGCTAAATTGGAGAAAAAAAAAAAGGCAAATTTTCCAACTACTCATCGATGGCTAGGCAATAAGCAAAAGAACTCTCCAAGCCCTAACAGGTTTGGCTCAGTGGATAGAGCATTGGCCTGCGGACTGAAGGGTCCCAGGTTCGATTCCGGTCACGGGCATGTACCTTGGTTGCGGGCACATCCCCAGTAGGGGGTGTGCAGGAGGCAGCTGATCGATGACTCTCTCCCATCGATGTTTCTAGCTCTCTATCTCTCTCCCTTCCTCTCTGTACAAAATCAATAAAATATATTAAAAAAAAATAATAATAATAATAATAAATTAAAAAAATAAACAAACACCTATATGGCCGGAGTGGCTCCGGGGTGGAGCACTGAGAGGTCAGGGTTGGATTCCCAGTCAGGGGCACGGGCCCAGGTTGCGGGCTCAGTCCCCAATGAGGGGCGTGCGGGAGGCAGGCAGCCGATCCGTGATTCTCTCTCACCACTGACGTTTCTGTCTCCTTCTCCCTCGCCCTCCCTCACGCTCTGAAATCAGTAAACACATAGTATTTAAAACACAGCACCCTCTCTAAAAATACCCAAAAGCGTGAACCATGCTGAACAGATGCGGAGTGCTGCACACAGGCCTGAGCAGGGGCCGTGTGGCGGCCTCCGGACGGGCAGGTGGCCAGCACCGGACGGGAGCAGGGGGCTGAGGTGTGGAGCCGGGAAGCCTAACCTTCTCCTCCCGGCACAGAAGCTCCCGGGCTGCGGAAAACCCTCGCTCTCAGAGGCGTGGCTTTAAGAGAAGGCCGCCCTCGGCCTGCAGGCCATCACTGCCAAGGCCGAGCGGCGGAGTGGAGTGGAGGGGCAGCTTGGGGAGGTCAGGGGAGAGGGCCCGGCGTGGGGCACCCGTGCCGCTCACCCGGGGCCTGGCCCCCTCTGCCAGCACGCTCCCTCTGGGGAGGCGCCCCTGCCCCTGACCTTGGAGGTCCTCAGCGGCGTGGCCACCCAAGGTCACGGCACAGACAGCGCGGCTCCCGGACGTGACAGAGGCCGGGACCCCGGAGCCCGGAGCGTCTGCTCTCGGCATCCTGGGAGAAAAGGGGACGGGGGCCTCACCCCGCAGTCGACAGCTGACACGGAGGTCGGCCTGTGCGTGTTTGAAAATAACCCGATGCCGATTTGTGTAAGCTGTTCCTGGTCCGATGACAACACGTGTGTCCTTGCTGCCTGAAGTACGGGCCTAAGTGTTTCCACTTCTAGAGTCACTGAAGGCAGACACCCCCGCACCCTCCCCAGTGCCCTGGGTGCCCAGACGCCCGCGAGCA